CCCGCTCCCCCCCCCCCTCGCCGGCCTCGTCCCCCCTGTCGCGGCAGCCCGCTTGTCCCGGCCCGCGCGCGCGCGCACCATGTCCTCGCAGTCTGGCACGCCGCCGCCCCTCGGGCTCTTCGTCGAGCGCTGGGTCAGCAATCCGATGTCCGACTGGACCACGGTGGACTGGATGAACTCCGGCATTCTGCTGGACACTTGCCACCATCCGCACCGGGATCCCGATGTCCCGATTTCCCTGTGCCTGGTGTGCTTCTCGCGGCACTGGTTCAACTTCCTGGAAGCACACTCCTTCTTCTTCCTGCCGCCGGCGCACTATGGCGGCCCGCTCCCGGCATACGTGGTCCCGGACTACGGGTCAACTGCCCACCTGCCGGGGAGCGAGCTGCAGCTGTGCCATGCCCCGCGGCTGGACGTGTCGCCCATCGTTTTGGCCATCAGCCTGGCCCGGGCCCCGGGGATAGGGGGCTCCGGGGCCAAGGCCGACACCGCCGCCGCCCCCGCCCCCGCCGCCGCCCCCGCCACCACCACCAGTGCGGTCGAGCGTCCAGCCGCGCCGCTGCGACTCTTCCAGGCACTGCCCTTCCGTGTGGCGGATCCGGCCGTCCGGTCGATCCCGGCGGCCGGCGGCGCAGCCACCCCACCGGGCCCAGCCCCGGCCCCGGGCGCAGGCCCCCCTGCTGCCGCCGCCGCCGCCGCCGCCGCCGCCGCCCCCGGCCCACCGACCACCGCCGCCACGTCCCTCTATTTTCTCCTTCAGTCCCCGCCGCAGGATTCGAATGCCCGAAGCTCGGCGCAGAATCTGCGCCGGCGATCGCGCGTCCGCGAGCGCGTCCGCAAAGCCGCCCAGCTGGAGTTCGGCTACTACGACCCGGCCAACATGCCGGACCTGCATCTGTCCTCGCGGCCGGCCCCGGGCGGCGACGGCAGCGGGGGCGACGACCCAGCCGGTCCGGCCGGCTCATCGACCACGCCGCCGCCCATGCCGCCGGTTCCCCCGCACCAGGAGAACTATCTGTACTTTCCGCCGCGCATCCGGCCGATCGCCGATGTCTCGGCCTTTTGCCGAGCCGGTGCCGTGGCCGCCCGGCGCCCTTCGCCCCCCTCCAAGCGGGAGCCCGACACATTCCCCCTCTCGGCTATGGACGCTGCGCAGCAGCATTCACAGCCTCAGCAGCAGGCCCAGCAGCAGCAGCAGCAGCAGCAGCAGCAGCGACAGTAGTTGTAGTCCCCCGTCGTATGCGCGCCAGCCTCCGCCCCGCCCCGCCCCGCCCCGCCCCCCCCCCTCTCTCTCTCTTTATACATACACACGCACATGCGCCTGTCGACCCACCCACCCACACACACACACACACACACACACACACACGCCGAGTCGGGGCGGGCCCTTTGCGGGAGCCCAAAATCGGGGGGTTGCTGTTGGGGAAGGTGCCGCAGGCAAGCGCGGCATGTATTGTCCGTCAAGACCCTCGTCCGGGCTTCACTCAAGCACCAGCAATATCGATGGGTCAATGTCGAAGGGTGACTGGAGCAGGTCCAGTCCGTCGGGGGCCTGGGGCTTGGGATCGCCTCGGTCCTCTCGAAGGGGCAGCACCCGGATGGCCGAGGACCGGCGCGCCGGCTCGGAAGGGGAGGTCGACAGCAGGGGCCGCCGCTCGTCCAGCGTGGCGACGGCCGCCGCGGCGCCTCCCCCGCGCGGAGGCCCGTGCCCCAGGGAGGTGGTCACGCGAAACCGAGCGACCGGGGCCCCGCGACTCGCTAGTCGGCAGAGGTCTGGTATTATTTCGGCTTTTTGAAGGTCATTGATTATGGGGTGGGGGGGGGGGGGGCATAAGGCCAGCGGGGGAGGGGGGCGCACCACGCGCAGAGATCGCAGGCGAGTCAGCACCGGCAGGGCCGACGGGAGGATGAGTGGCCGAGACCGGCGGATGCTGAGGAGGGCCAGCGGGGGCGGGGGCAGACCCCGGGCTCCGGTCACCAGGGGGAGGATGTCGCTGGGCTGGATGTCGGTGATGTCATTCAGGAGGAGCTTCTGCAGCCGGGGGAGATTTGAAAAAATCTGGACCAGCAAGGAGGCATTAGTGTCGGGTGTCGGCAGGGCGGGGCAAAGTGCGTGGGAGGGGGGGCAG